GGCTGTGGGAGGTCGACGCACTGGGTCTGAAGAGTGACATCGAGAAATGCAAAATGTTTCTTCTTCTCTCTCTTCTCTAATCTTATTAGGTCATACCTTTTTTTTAAAAAATAAAATAAATTTAAACATTGGGTCGGGTTTACGGGTTTGGACACCGGGTCGGCGTCGACTGGGACACCTAGGCGACGCCGGAGCTTGCCTCGCCATTTTCAGGCGAGGCGAAGCCTCCAGGCGTCCTGTCTCCACCGACAGGACACCTAGGCGTCGCCGTGATAAACATGGTTGTATAAAGATGTGAATCACATTATTGGGACTAGCACCAAAATACACAAGGCATATAAATGGAAAGGAATTGCAAGATCAAATTAGGATGAGAAGTGTACTTAAAGATGTCGCAGAAAATGGATTTGAACATTATGTTGATTTCAGAAAGTTATAGGTTGCGCCAGCTACTTCTCTTTTAAATATGATATGAAACTGGTTTTCTTGGGTTTCAGCACTAGATGCTTGGATAGATTAGAATACAAACCTAACTGTCCCATCCACAGAAGCACTGGCTATGTTGTCCCCAGATGCAGAAAAGCGGCATCGTGTGATTGGACTTGTGTGGCCAAGGAATGTCTCCTATAATATAAGGTTTTAGAAACACATTTAACCCGTCTTCAAATATAATGAAAGTAAAAAAAGAAAGAGATGCAATAAGAAGAAAGAAGGCTTCATAAGTGGAAGTTGAAACAAAAACAAAATGTTCAAAAGAAGCTGTTCATTCAACAATTCAGTTCAAAATGAAAAGATGAAAGGAAAACAGAACAAATGACTCAAATGCTAACAAGAGATTCAATAACTTCATTTTGCCACATAAGCAATTCACCTGAAAGCCTACTCTCACTTCTGGGAATTCTTCTTCTCCCTGCATTTCACTGCTAGTGTCTGTCATGAAACTTTTAGTTTGTTAAGTAGCCTAAGAAAAATAGAGCTAAAAAATAAAAAATAAAGGCAGATCCAAGAGTTTTTTTTTGTTTAAAAAAAAAAAAAAATTAAAGGCAGATGCAAGGTTTAGCAGACTGACTGTTAAATTAACAGTTTTAAATATGATTAATTAGCTCAGTCCCATGTCTATTTCTTTTACCATGTACATAATTTTTCAATCCTGAGAAACCAATAATGTGCTTTACCATCTACATTAACAACACTATCTTCACCTTGAACATTTTGGAAGTCATTGCTTCCCTCACTCTTGCTCATACAGGACATTAACTCCTGAGAGTGAGCAGGTCTTGTATCATTAATGTATCGAGAAGACTCTCTTTCACCAATGTTAGAAGTTGCAGGGTCACAAATGTCATGAGAAAAGCTAGATGAAGAAGAAACATTTTGCTCCTGAAAGCCTGTTTTAACGTTTGATGAGCTGCTCATTCCAAGGGTTGGTAGTCTTGTAGTTGCTGAAGTGTTACTGACAATAGAAGAAAGAAGTTAGTGGTCTACTCTCTACGGGTCTTCAGATTATAGAGAATAGAAACTGTAGGATCTCTCACCTCTTTGCTTGGCGTAACTGGATCTCTTTCTCCTCCAACAAGGCCTGAAGTTGTGAAATTTTAAGATTAAGTTGCTTAATGTCTCCCTTGAGACGATTCACAGTGTTCTGTTCAGAACTGATCTTCAGTAATGCAGGGATGCGTAATTTGGCTAAGGAGAAGTTCAAAGAGTAAACTGTGGGTGCTGAGGGAAATGTATAGTCAATAACAGTTGAAGTTTCCATCAATCACAATTTTGTCAGTAATCTCATGACTAGATGCCATAGATTACTCTATAGCTGCTCTGAAATACCAGTAAACTGAAAGCATACAACCAAGGAAAGTGGTAAACTTACTAATAAAAGAACTAATGTTCAGATAAATATCACTCAAAACCTTCTTGTTGATAGTTAAAGGTGATAAAATTAAAGCAAATACTGTCAAAGAAAGGTAATAAAAATCTATGCTGAAGGATATGAGTACTGTTAAGCATCGTGCTCAGAAAGTTCCTGACAGAAAGATGCAAGGTATTGATCCACTCCTTAGAGAAGTACAAACGAAATTCAGGATCCAAATGAGGATTCTTATAATATGGGAGGGCTGCAAAAATTTTTAAAAGATGATTAAAGATGAAAAGGAGAAATCACCAAAGTCACAATAAGAGTGAAAAGAGAGCCAACCAAACCATAAGGCCCAGTCTTCATGTTTTTGCAGTAACGCATTGCCATGGAAATTAAAAAATTCCGTTACTTTCTCCTTCCGTCCTGTTTGCAAGGCATGGATGATATAATACCGTATAATAGAGACTTCCAATTTTGACAAAGTAGACATAAGCTCGGCCTCGTAAGAACCAAAGCATTGCTTGAAAAAGTGAAGTAGATTAACCAAGTTCTCAGCTTGACATTTTGGAATGTACACAGAGAAAATCAAGTCTAACAAACTATCAACTTGGAACCCTTTCCCAATATCAGTGCCTAATTCTTTCTCAAAAACCTGAAGGGTTTTTGTAAACCCTCTGAACACAAGAAACTCTCTCACTAGCTCCTCAGCGTACTGTAGATTCTCCATTTCTCCTTAAAAACTCAGGCCAACTCGTCCGTTAAATATTGCAAATGTTTGCATCGCATATTCCCAAGTATGCTACTCCTAAGTCAAATGATAATTTAAGAATGAATTAACTACACGTTCTGCAACATTTTTCTAAAAATATTCAGACTTCTCCAATCAATACTTCTGCTGCTCCATAAGCAACCGCATAGGACCTGCAAACACATATAAACCACTTGGATTTCGTGCGGGAGATGTGCAGATGATTGCATAAATTAACAAAATAAGAACTAGGTTTCTTCTACTTCACCCAGAAACTAACTCACAATAGCAATGCATATAGTTCAATCGTATCAAGAATTTTAGGGATTAGAGACACATCGTTATTATGACATTATAATTATAATTTTATAATTATAATTATAATTATAATAACAGCAAATTGAAAGCAAGCAATTAAGCACACCTTCTTAAAACTGATTTGTGCTTCCTACGTCTGCGATTCAACGCTGTTTCTCTTCTTCTTCTACCAAATGTGAAGGATGCGATAATCACAAAGTAAATCACAAGGATTTCACCTTATTGCCCACTACTCTTTCTTGTATCGACTACTATTTTTTTATTTTTTTATTTCCTTTTAAAATTTTAATTAAATGCATGCACGTCATTATACAGAAGTATATACTTAAAAAAGTACAATTATTAGTTTTTGCTTTTTGGGTGCCCAAAGATTCTTAGAGTCACTATATGAGAGTATGCACCGACTAAATCTAATCTTGTGACCTATGCTGCAAATAGGGGTGTGCAAATCCGAAATAACCGTCGGGTCAACCCGACCCAATCGGGTAAATGAACCCTTTCGGACCGAATCGGCACCCGACTTCTTTAAACCGAACCAAGCAAGCCATTTTAATGGTTAAATGAAGTCGGTTTGGGTCGCGTGTTTGCCCACCCGACCCGTCCGACTACCCGATGAAGCCTAGGGTTATAAGTGATGTATAGTAAATGGCGTCGTGTCCATAGTTTATATATATGAGCGTTTGTACGCTGCGCAGCCTTCACTCTCTCATAGACCTAATCTCATACTCTCATTCTCTGATTTCTCTCTCGACTCTCAACTCTCAACCTAGGGTTTCTCAGTTCTCCCGTTCTCTCAACTCTCAAGTCTCAATCTTTGAGAGTTGAGACTGAGAATCTCCGGTTCTCCGGTGGAAGCCTTTTCTCTGATAGTCTGATTCTCTATTTCTTTCTTGAGTTCTATGAGTCTGTGTTTTTGAGACTGTGACTTTGTCTCTGAGTTCTCTCAAGTCTCAATCTCCATATGATGAGCATTCAGAGATGAGAGACATTTTGTTGTCTTTGATAGTTCGAATGTTTGATGAATGCCTGATGGAAATATGGAATTGAAAATATGGAACAGTTAAGTGTCAAATGTTAAAATGTTATATGTGTATTATGATTTCCAATCTCCTACTATGTGTACTGATTATGTTCCACACTTTATAGGCGGACAATATCAGTATACCTAGTTCTGGCTGTGAACCTACCAATTCTTCTGCTCAAGGAGCAACAGCAGTGGAAGCCCAAACTGTTGACACAATTACTCAACAGACTGTACTCCCTACTGCTGCAGTTCCTGCAAAGAAAAGGAAAGTGGTTGAATCCAGATCAAGAGTTTGGGATCATTTTCAAAAGATTACTGATAGTAATAATGTTACTATAGAAGCAAAGTGTGTCTATTGTGCAAAGTTGTATCAATGTCAATTAAAAAAACATGGTATTACATCTTTAAGGAACCACATGGTTAGCTATATGAAAAACCATCACTCTAAAGATACTAGGCAGTCCCTTCTGACATTTCAAGCTGTTGCTACTAGTGATGCATCTGAACCAACTGTGGGAGAGTTGGGGACTTGGGTATTTAATCAGGAAACCATTAGGAGAGCCTTGGTAGAAATGATTATCATAGATGAACTTCCCTTTATATTTGTTGAGGGGCAAGGGTTTAGGAGGTTCATTGCAGTGGCTTGTCCTAGGTTTAAAATTCCATCTAGGTAAACTATCAGTAGGGATATCAATGTCATTTATGAAGAAGAAAAATTGAACTTAAAGTGCTTGTTTAGGGGAAACACTCAAAGAGTCAATATTACAACTGACTCTTGGATATCTATTCAGAGGATAAACTACATGGTTGTAACTACACATTTTATAGATGAGGAGTGGAAGCTACATAAAAAAATTATATCTTTTGTCCCTGTTACATCACATAAGGGTGAGTATATTGCAAAAGCACTTGAAAGTTGTTTGATAGAGTGGGGGCTTAGGAATGTGTTTACTGTGACAGTAGATAATGCTTCATCAAATGATGTTGCACTTGGTTTTTGAAAAAGGAAAGTGTTGTCTTGATGATCATCTAGTGTGAAGAGTAAGTATCTTCACATGAGATGCATTGCTCATATTCTGAACTTGGTGGTACAAGATGGTCTAAAACAATGTGATATTTCTGTTAAGAGGGTTAAGGAGGTTGTTAGATATGTCAGAAATTCTCCTTCAAGGTTGAAGAAATTTAGGGATTTGGCAGAGTATAGTGGAATTGAGCAAAAAACATCCTTGTGTCTTGATGTGCCAACAAGGTGGAATTCCACATATTTAATGTTACAGTCTGCTTTGATCTACCAGAAAGTATTTGATGACTATGAATACAGTGATAACTCTTTTAAATCTGATCTGGGTGATTCTATTCCTACTTCTCTGGATTGGGAGTCTGTGAACAACTTGGTTAAGCTGTTGAAATGTTTCTATGAGATGACTATCAGAATTTCAGGGTCCCTATATGTGACAGCTAACACCTTTTTCTCTGAAATATCTGATCTGTATTGTATCTTGAATGAAATGGTGGAAGCTGATGGGGCTGTGAAACTAATGGGGGCTAACATGAAAGCGAAATTTGAAAAATATTGGGGTGATATTGACAAAATGAATTATATGATTTTCTTTGCAAACATTTTAGACCCCAGGGACAAGTTAGAATATATGCCAACTCAATTACTTCATATGTATGGTGACAAAAAAGGAAAAGATTACCTTGAGAAATTGTTGGCTGCTTTGAATGAATTGTATGATGATTATGCTGTGAGTTATAGCCCTACTGTTGTCCCAGCTACTGGTTCTGGTTCTGTAGCATCTGTTACTCCTATTGTTGAGTCTGTTTCTGCCCCTGTTGGGAGGCCACAACATCTACTGAAGGCCCAAATTAAGAAACAAATAATGGAAACTGGTGGGAGGAAAAAAACTTAGTTGGAATATTATTTGAGTGAGGCAATAACTGAAGATGAAGGTTCATTTGATATACTGAGATGGTGGAAGGTCAATTCTGCAAGGTTTCCTATCCTTTCTAAGATTGCTAGGGATATCTTAGTTATTCCTATCTCAACTGTTGCCTCAAAATCTGTCTTTAGTACATCTGGGAGGGTTTTAGATCATTTTAGGAGTTCTTTAACTCCTAAAATTGTGGAAGCCTTGGTATGTACTCAGGATTGGCTTAGGCTGCCAAATACCCCCATTTCAATTGAAGAAAATCTAGAAGAATTATAAAGATTTGAGAAAGGTAAAATAATGTATTATTTCAATCATTCAATTTAAGTTTTTTTCATTGAATTGAATTCTAACAAGCTTCTTCTTATTTGATTTAATTGCAGAATTTAGTGTTGATGGTGGAAGTGCATCTGGTGGGAGGACTTGTGGTTCTACACTTCCAAGTATTCCTGTAATGGTCTTCTCCAATCTCTATACTTTATATGATATATTAATATCTTAATCGTGTATTCAACTATTCAACTGACTTTATATTTTGATGTTAAGGCAATGAAACTTGGTGACTTTAAGTTGCTTCCCTTGATGAGTTTTTGGCCCCTAACCACTGCTCTTAAATCCTCTAAAGGCTTGGTAGCTTACTAACTTGTAAGAGTAAGTAAAGTTGCTGCCTTTTGCAGTTTTGCATTACTGTAAATCTGTAATTCTGGTAATGTTATCTTCTGAGTTTTTGATATATTATGGCAAATTGGCAATGATGAAAGCTTCCACCAATGATCTGAAATAAGGATTAAGCTGGTATATTGCTCAATGTCAATTGTTCATGGAATCATGGTGATATTGAAGATTTGAAGTAATTTGCCCTTAATCCATACATTGATATGGACAAATATGCTTACTGAGCCAATATTATAATCTCATTTTCTCATTTGCTAAGTAATTATTATTGACTTATTGTTTTTTACTTGTTTTGTTGTTTGTTTCCTTTACTAAATTGCACTAAGTTTTAACAGGAAGAAGAATAGCAGTCTAGAACACTAGGAGTATTACAGATTTACAGATTTAGAGTAGGATCAAGATTCAGGAATCAGGATGGCTTTTTGTGATTAGGAATCAACATGGCTTTTTGTGATCATGAATCTACATGCTGGAAATCTGGAATGGTTTATTGAATCGTGCAAAATGCAAATCACTATGTAGATTTGTAAATCTGTAATTCTGGTTTTTTGTGAAGTGTAAACTACTAAACTGTAAACTGTAAATTATTCATTTTTGGGGTTTTAAGGTTTTTTGTATGACATATTGGCATTAAGGCATTTTGTCTTGAATTTACTTGATTTAGTTTTAAAGTTTTATTATTCTTATTTCAATTTTGCTTCACCCGAACACGAGTTGGATATCCGACCAACCCGACCGAAACCGAATACTAAATAAACCGAAAGATTTAATATATAAAATGTTAGGACCGGTTTTACATTCACCAAACCGAAATCCGAGCGGTTTAGCCAACCCCCACCCCGAACCGAACCGAACCGCCCGATGCACACCCCTAGCTGCAAAGGATTACAAGCTGACTCGACCAAACCAAAATGCCCAATAAATCGTTTCCTAAAACTCGAATATATATAAAATTAATATAAAATTTATTTATTATATAAACAATATAAAGTTATAAATTATATATTTGAGTATTTCATATCTGAATATTTTTAATGTTATGACTTGTGAATTATCATTATTTCATTTATTTGGATGTGTTATTTGATTGAATGTTGAAAACAACCTCATTACAATTATCAAACTGCAAGTCGGTCTGCCACCGCACCCGCCTAACACCGCCGGCACTGCCACTATTTTTTGGCGCCCCCTAGCACCATCGGCAGGGCCGTTCCATTACAAATTAGGGTCCTGTGATATATTTAAATTTGGGCCCCCCTTTTTAAGTAATTTTTATATATAAATAATAGTTGCTTAAAAAGTTGGGTTAAAAATTCAAAATATAATATTGTATAAAAAAATACATCTAAAATTTCATTTTAAAAGTGACATGTGCCTTGCACATTTACACGCAAAATTATCTACCAAACTTGAATTTTTTGCTCATCTATTTGAGTTTTTTTTTTTTTTTTTTTTTTTTTTTTTTTTTTTTTTTTTTGTAATGAATTTTTCAAGAGCTCCCTTTTGAGATTGAGTTAGTTGCTCAATTCTTCTTTTCTTTTTACGCTTCTCAAACCCATATGAATATTTTCTAGAAGTCATAATTATAAAGTCCTAAGAAAAAAAATAAGAATTTATTTAAAAACTCTATGAATAAATAATTAATCAAGAAACGAATTCTTGAATATATTATTCTGAAATCAGAATTATTAAGTCAGGTAAATAAAATAATAAACAAAAATTGTAAAAGAATACGTAATTTTAATTTTAATTTTAATTACCTATTAAGAGAATTGAAGATTCGTAGCACACGAACTGACTTTGTTGTATTTGCGTCAATTCACTAAATCCTGTGCAAATTAGTTGAATTTGTTGTCTGTCTTTGCAAACAATACAAATTAATAATTATACAATTGAGATTTTTACAAATTAATAATTATAAAATTGAGATTTGCCTAATCTCAGAAAGAGGCGAAGAGGCACTACAGCAGACTAGCAGAGGCAAATTATGAAATTAAATATTTACTTTAGAGAGGAGATTAGGATTACACGCACAACTAACAACTTAGTTCAATTAGAGTATTAGAAATTAATTACCTAGGCAATTTGTTGTCCGCTTGTCCCCTCTCCTCGACTGCCGAGTCTGCCATCTCTGTATCTGTCGCCAGTAGGTCGCTAGGTTAGAATGTATTTGTTTTTTTTGGAAAGGTTAGGTTAGTAACATATTTTTTTTTTTTTAAATATGGGGCCCCAATTTTTGGGGGCCCTGTGTGCCAGCCCTGGGAAAACTTGCCCAGGGACGGCCGGCCGTCCCTCGGCACTGTCACTATTTTTTTGGTGCCCGACTAGCGCGTACTGCAACCATGGTTAATTGTAACTAGCTATGATTACAGATGATATTACTTGCACACACATGGATCCAATGGGACCCCGGGGTGGAGGGGAATTTTATAAAGATATTATGCTTTTATAAGGTTCGAACCCACAACTTCAAACATAACCAACAAAAATTCCAAACCACTAAGCCACTTAAGATCATGTGTATTAAAATGCAGAAAACTTCAGTTGAGCATGAGAATGCGCTGGAAGCAAAGTAGTGGGGTGACACGTGTATGGCCAAGAATGAAGGTTGCCGATGTCGTCCATTTGTCAACCATCCGTGAGTCCTTCAACAATATAAATAGGCACCCTTCTCTCCCCTTAAAAACCATCCATTTGCTCACCAAACCCCTTTTGGTCCATTAGACTAAGTCTTCTCCCTCCTACTAGCATACCGGGGTTCGATTCGTAGCGGTAACATTGTTATTTTTATTTTAATTATTTTGGTTATAGCTTGTATTATTTATTTATTATTTGGGCCATCGTTTTGGGTGGTGGCTCGGGCTTGGTGCGTATTCTTTTGGGCCTAGCGCCCTAGGTAATAATATTATTATTTTCATACTCCCGTTCTAGACCTATATACCTAGTTTATGATGGATCCGGTTCCAACAAAATCATCATTGGCACCGTCTGTGGGGAACGCTATGAAAAGCCTACGTTCTTAGTTTCTATCTATTCTATCCTTTCCCTTTAAACCATCAAACCCTGAGATACACCAGAATAATCGAGTCGCAAAGTCAACGTTCCCTGGATCTGCAAGAACGCCTTAGCATGAAAGCTAGGGCTCAGTCCGATTCGTGAAGGTCGGTTCCCCATTCGAAGCACACGAGAAGACTCTTTGCCGTCGGAAGTGGCTCTGCCATCGTTGTGACCAGTCAAGGTCCCTTGGCGGTCGGACCTAATGTCCAACCTTTAGCCTATGAGATCGCCAATGTCATTGGTAATTGGGTCACCCACCAATTGTTGGCCCAAACACTCAATCAAATCATCCCCTTACCCGACTCAGCACCACACGAGTTGGGATGAAGGCACCACCAAGGAGGGGGGTCCAGTGCAAGGGGCCTGAGGCCGCAACTTGGGCCGAAATGAGGGAACAAGGCATGGAGGGAGTTCGAACCCATTCATGATGAGGCCATCGATGAGAATATTGATCGTATCCCGACCGTTAAGGGCCCGCATGTCGAGTAGTAGTACTAGACCTGGTAGGGAATATCCCGACCGACATGCCTTCGTCTTTTTATTATTGTTTATGCAGGTTACAGGTCGGATTCTCTTAGAAGAACCCGGTCGGTTGTCGACCGAGAATCACCTGACCGATGTCCTTTAAATCCCGATCGATAGCCCTTAGGCGAGAAAGCCGCGGAGAGACACGTGGCGGCGTTACGCACTGACAGGCAAGGGCTCCCGGGAAGAGGACACGTGGTTGCTACATTGGGGACATGCCGAACGGCCGGGCTTGTGTTTCCGGCCCAGCGGCTTTAAATACCCGCGGTGACAACAGTGTGAGGGACTTTTGGATGATCGAAAGGCTATTACTAGAGCATCCCGACCGCAGTCAGTCGGCCCTCAGAGTAGCCAGTGTAGATTGTACTTAGGACCTTCACCTTGATCAATAAAAGAATTTTACTTGCTTTAATTGGTCTCATGTTATCTTATTTACCGCTTACGTGGGAATTAACACTATCATTTTGACGCCGTCTGTGGGGAACCATGCAAGTAAGCTAACGTTTGACGAGCACCCTCCTTTCTTTCATCATGTATCCACTTACATACAACCTCTTCGGCGACGATCAAGCGGATGCGGCGAGTTCATCCGATCATCAGCCGACCCAGTATCAAGGTCAGACCGTTGACCTCAATCTCAACCTCTCACCGCCCCATCAAGCAGCTCAGTACCCGGCCGCCCAACAGCCGGTCAATTATATCCAACCGGGATATCCGACACCCGGTCAGCAGCTCCAATACCCCGGGCAATATCCTTACCCGGTCCCGCCTCCACCATACGGATATTGGCCCGGTCAACCGATGTTCTATACACCACCGGCCGGTTATCCACCCTACACGTCTGCGTACACGGCTCCAGCCGCCGCCCCTCCGATTTACCCTACTGCTCAAGTAGAGCCGGAGCATCAGCCCACTTCCCGGGCTCGACGCTCGGCTCGTTCGCGGTTGGGGTCGCAAGGTGCCGAGGCCATGGAGGTACCACGGCAGGTGATGGTTTTAGGGTTTTCGGGCCCAAGGAGGTCCAACACAACCTTTGGTCGGAGGATACACCTCTCAATAATTTATATGTCTAACTCAGGGACAGTGTTAGTGCTTGGAAATTCTTTGTTATTCTCCCCTCTTCCGGGTGTCCGAAAATGTCTACCTTTTACAAGAATGGAGGAGCCTTTATATAGTGGCTCCTCCTCTGCCGACTTGAAGGCCCTTAATGGCCGACTTCAAGGCTAATCAAGATATGGAGCCGTTGGACGCTATTACTCGGTCGACCAACGGCTCTCCTAGGCTAGTAATAGCCCGACCGGGTCCTGTCTTTAATGCTTCAACGGCTCTCTTTTAAAGGAACCCCTTTAATGCCCTCAACGGCTCCTCGAGCCGGGTCCTTTCCT